TGCTTATCTAAATGCAAACTATTAATTACTAATTCCCCAAACTAAAAAGCTGTTTTAGAGCTTCATCGGAAACGAACATGTGGCATTATTGCACATAAATAAGAGATTGAGATCATATATATTCATATGTAGGATCACATGTACTGCTTGCCTGTCAAGCACCACAATGGACAGGTAAAGAGGGTTTTTTAAAAAAAAAGAGAAAACCTTTGAACTCAAATTTCATTTTCTTGCATCCATTTTCATATGACTATACATTAGTTTAGTAGTCAAAATAAAGGGTTCAATCATTTCAGTTCAACATTCTTGTTTATTAACACAATTCATGGAAATTAGATGGAACGTTAGCATGCAATTCCAAATCCGGTTCTCATTTGCAGTACAAATTTGATGTCCGCTGGCGCATCCTCCAACGGCCAGATGGTGAACAAGTACGATTAAGTTGGTGAACATTATTGATGTAACAAGTAACCAAGAACCGCATCCAAGAAATGTGAATCCAAGAACAAGTTCTCTTGCATTTGATTTGAACTCTTTAACTGTACTACTACTACTACTACTACTACTACTACTACTACTACGACTACAGGTGTACTTTCGTCTTGAGTTTTGCGTCTTCCAAAACAATCACTATCCAACTCTTGATTGAGTACAATATACGCAGAATTCAACTTCTTAGCTCAGAAATTCCACTGGAGACCGGTCCTGCACTTCCTTTAGGATAAAGCATTAATCATCAATTGTGTCCAGCCTTTCTGTTTTCCTTCCACTTTTTTTTCTGGGGTCTATTTTTCTTTCTTTCTTTCTTTCCCTTTTTGTCCCCCTCCCTCTTGTCTTTTTTCAATGGGGATAACCTGGTTGGTGAGCTGAATTCCAGCTGCCCAGCATTGACTTCCTTAGATCATGGGACGCTCGTTCTCCTTCTGCTTCTTGATTTTCTGACCCACTGCCTTTATTTGGATTCTGGGCTCCTCTTATAACCTGTCGAAAATGGACATTCTTGAATGTTAGCACTCACAATATTCTTGTCCTGTTATTACCTGGAGGTATGTATATTTCTTCCATCTTCTACTTCTTCATGTTCGTGTTTGGTCCATATGTGCATAGTTGCATGTGAAAGTTGTCTTCTCATTGTCTAGTTCCTCAAATGGATTTAAACTTCTATATATTTGTAAATGATAACTGACTAGGAAATCTATGAACCTGATAAGATTATGATCAAGAATTTTGCGGGACAAGTGTAGATGCAATTTAAGGAATTAACCTTTAGTTGGGAAGGAACTTATAAGGAAGTGATGCAATGACGGAAAACAATTTGGTAATTCTGGAAGCAGACCGGACCATTGCAGTAGTGTTTATTAAAAGGGCCCAAAATAAGGCAAAAGTAATGGCAGGGCATAATTCATGTAAATTCCAGTTGTGCGCAAACAAACTGAATCTGTTGATTCTGCAATGGTGATTCACTAGGATAGAAGAGCTTTTCTAATCAAATTGTACGAACTTTTTTTTCTTATTCCCTCTTATAATCTTTGGAATATCTGTGTTGATTATTCAGAACAAAGAGAAGTTTTTGCATTTGCACTACAAACTTGTATTGGAATTTTACTGACTTCATCGATTCTCTTAGTTAAAGAGTTTCTTAAAATTACAGATAAGGCGAAAATTTACAAATTGATGTAAAAATCTAGTGCAACGCTTGTTTTTTAATGGTTCCATGACTAGAGAGATTTGCAATTTGCAGTTAGAGAAATGGCAAAATTAAGGGCTATGAGGTGTTTCTCATTCTCAAACACGGACAGAAAAGATGAGCCAAAGACTACTAAGTCTATTTCGGTTCGCTCCTCTACTTCAACATCAACTGATCCTGAGGTGAGGAGATCAGGTTCTGAATATAATTCTCTAAATGTCTCGGACATCAGCACAGGATCTTCTGTGGGTATGTCGCTTACAAGCGCGTCTCCAAGACCAAGCAACCTCAGGGTCTTTTCATTTACAGAGCTCAAGACAGCAACAAGGAATTTTAGCCGATCCCTAATGATTGGAGAAGGAGGTTTTGGTGGTGTGTACAGGGGTGTCATAAGGGATGTACAGGATTTGGACAAAAAACTTGATATTGCTGTGAAACAGCTCAGCAGAAGGGGATTGCAGGTGAAATCCTCCTCCCAGCATTTTAACTGATAGTGCTAGAATTTTGATCATTGTCCTAGCTTTGTGCGACGTGAAGTGTTAGTTCACAATGAAAAGAATGGAAGAATACCAAAAGCGCATATAGTATAGATTGCAAATGTGAAACTTGAAGTTCACCTTTTACCTCGAATTCCTTGAAGATAAAAACAATCATGAATCCTCAATCATGTACATTTGATGAGGATCGTAGATTGGGTATGTATATTGTTTAGTTGGTTATTGGTGGCCTAACTCAAATTTGTCATCTCATGTTATCCTTCCTAGCAAAATCAAGGTTTAGATCTCCCACTACATACTTGAGAACAATCACAAATATTTTTAATCCCTAGTAATTCATTCTGTTTCGTCAACATCTTACATTAGGTTTTCACAGCTCTCGAATTCACTTGGCTATAGTGTTACCCTAACCAGATTTCTTTTCTTAGGTATCGTTTGATGTTCTTTGTCATCGCTGCAAAATCTTAGCCATAAAATAACTATCTTGATCCCTTTTGGTGTATATAGGGACATAAGGAATGGGTGACAGAGGTTAACGTTCTTGGCATTGTTGAACATCCAAATCTTGTCAAACTGTATGGCTATTGTGCTGAGGATGATGAAAGAGGAATCCAACGCCTTTTGGTGTATGAATACTTGCCCAACAGAAGTGTGCAAGATCATTTATTCAGTCGATTTCAGACACCTCTGCCATGGGCCACCAGACTGAGGATCGCACAGGATGCTGCACGGGGATTAGCATACCTTCATGAAGGAATGGAATTTCAGGTGTGTGTTGTTCTCTACAGTTTCTAAATTTCAACATGATCTAATAATACTCTCCCAGATTCTAAAGCCTTCTACTTTCAAGTATAGAGTAGTTGAGTTCAGCTTGCTACAATCACCGACCGTTGTTATGGTTGTTTAGCAGTGACTTGAATTCGTTCTTTCTCCTGAAAAATGTGCAAGATCAAATATGTTCTGTAAACAACACAGCCATACAGCCTTTCTTCTCGTGTCCATCCAAGAATTTGACTCCAAGCCTTATTATCTTCTTCTGACAACTTGCAATTTAAAAGCCTAGAAACAAATAAGCCAGTTTTTAACTTGAATCAATGTTCAACTTCCGAAATACAAATAAACATGACCTTTCTAGTAACATCATTACTTTGTGTCCGGTATTAGACCAACATAGTAAGTTCCTTGTTAAAAGAGGTCAAAGAGGCATTTGTTGCATGTCCTTGGGCTGTTTACAAAGCTCAGGCCATATAATTTCCTTACTTGATGCGTAATTAAGCTGTGATCTACTCAACATGTCAAGGTTGCACCGGCAAGCTTGTTTGAGATGAAAGACCAACTAAAAGAAGTAGATTTTCTGTGCTTATTCTAGGAAAAATTTCAGTTGCGAATCATCTTATAGAGAGAGAGATTGACCTCTCTCTGATTGCACAGTTTTATCACTGTAATTGTCTGATGGAGTATATAATTTTGGTGGTGCAGATTATCTTCAGAGACTTCAAATCATCTAACATTCTCTTGGATGACCGATGGAATGCAAAGCTTTCAGATTTTGGATTAGCCAGGCTGGGACCTTCTGATGGTTTTAGCCATGTCTCCACTGCGGTATGTTGATAGTGCATCGCTAGTGTATGAATGTAACAAGAGCTGCACAAGCCACCCCAATTCCCTCCTCTGCCTGGTAGTCATATACTAATACTTAATTCCAGAATAAAACCCATAAAAAAGGGATCAATTGCTCTATCCATCTTCTGACTCTTTTAAGTACAAGTTCTTGAATATGAGCTCAAGTATTTCGCATTTTATCCCATGCATTGTGATGTTTACTTGTTTTGGAAACCACAGGTAGTGGGTACCGTTGGATATGCTGCTCCGGAGTATATTCAAACGGGGCGTCTTACATCCAAGAGTGATGTGTGGGCTTATGGAGTCTTTCTCTACGAACTTATCACTGGCAGACGTCCTTTGGACAGAAACCGACCCAAAAATGAGCAGAAACTGCTGGAATGGGTCAGGCCACATCTCGCAGACATTAAAAAGTTTGAGCAGATTTTGGATCCTCGGCTAGATGGGAAATATTCTTTGAAGTCTGCGCAAAAGCTAGCCGCTACAGCCAACAAATGTTTAGTAAGGCATCCCAAACATCGTCCGAGAATGAGTGAAGTTCTGGAAATCGTAAACAAGATCGTGGAAGAAAGTAGTGTGATTGGAAGTCCTCAAGGTCCCATTAGTTCAAGTGTGAAACATTTTGAAGAAAAATCCAAGGTACAAGGACCAAAGAGAAGATTTGTGGACAATGTAACTGGAGAAAATAAATGGTTGCTTTGGAGAACATGGAAACCTAAGCTTGTGAAGGCTACTTGAAGGTAAAAAAAAAAAAGAAAAACTAGAGCAGATTTTCTCTTCAATTAGATGAAGCTCATCAAGTCAGCAGCTTCTTTTCTAAGTGCAATTTAGCTTCATCTATTAAAAGCTCCACTTGCGCCCTCATCTTTTAACTGTTAATATGTCTCCCTTTTATCCGAGTAAAAGAACAAAAATCAGAAATAAAACTCTCTGATACCCTCAGCAAATCCTTACTGGGATCTTTCTCATCCAATCCAGAGCACAGAGGTAAAACCTGAAAATCCAGACAATCAACACGTCTATCAAAATTCAAAAGTACATGCTTGAGCTATTAAGGGGGCAATCAAGATACATTAGGAATCACAAGATTCAATATCTTCATCCTGTGCATCCCCCCTATACCAGTGTTCCACCCACCCTCCTCCCAAGCGAGGAGGAGGAGAAAAGAACGACAGTAAAGAGAAAAAATGAGATGAATCCCCAAAATAAATCCATGTTAAAGTAATTGTGTTCGTTCGAAACATGTTTCCATTTTCCTTCTGAAGGCCATTTCAACTGGGCAGAACCTTCAGATGTCAATACAGATGTAGCTACCAAAAATACATCGCCAAAAGCTGTTTATTTTATGTCACTGAATTGCTGTTCTGTAGCTCCATAAAGTTTCCAAGAATTCTCTAAGCATCCAGAGGCCCCAGTGCCCAAGGAAAGAAGTCCTACAAATGTCCTCCTCCAAAAAATCAGCATCTAAGCTGACATCTTAGACATCAGCTATTTGATAAGAAGTTGAAATGCAAATCCTTTCCCTCACCTCTTCAGGTAACATTCTATGAGAAAATTATACGTGAAAGCTGTCACTCCACAGAGATGCCATCTAGCAGCTTCCTACCTTGCTCACTTAATTCCACATTCTCCATCTTGATCCGCCGGCGCATGATAGGACTAGTTCTTCCAGCAGCTGCATATGTCCTAAGCAATGATTCGAACACATCAACACCCAATTCATCCACAGCCTTCTTCAAAATCTCCACAAAACCTTCCGCACCTTCAACATCCTTCTTTTTCTCAAAATGTTCCATAAGTTCTCTTACAACTGTGGAGGATGGGATCCACTTAGAACCATCTCCTCTACCAGTTATAATTGCATTCTCGACACACTCTACGGCTGGTTTGATCTCCCCATTTCTGAGATAGTAATCAAGGAAAATCTCCCAAGTTTTAGCATTAGCCTTGGCCCCACTCCTCCTGGCTCGTTCCTTTAGCTCTTCAGCCTTCTTCAATGAACCTTGTTTAGCATAAGCTCCTATAAGGACGTTTGCAATACGAATATCATAAGCTGGGTGGCCAGATTCCCACTCCCTGAAACATTTTTCAGCACCTGGTAAATCATTGAGGTTAACCAACACTTGAATCATATTCAGATAGCTTATATTTGCTGTCTTAGGAAAAGCCAGCCTTAAAGACCGCCACACACGATAAACTTCGAGCAGATTTCCAGTGCGGCCGTATAATGTGATCAAGAACTGGTATGCAGAAAGATCTCGGCGAGCATTTTTCTTCTCCAATTCTTTGAGTGCCTTCTCTGCTTTATCAAACAAGCCTGCATCAGCGTAAATTGATGCCAGGTTGCTATATGTTGTCCAATCTCCAGAGACTCGACCATCCCTCTTCATCTCGTCAATGACCCTCTCCACCCCAGTAATATCATTTTCAGCAGCAAGAGCCCTCATCCAGACATTATAGGTATAAGAATCAGGCAAAATGTCACTAGCTTTCATCTCTTGGATTATGGATGGGATTTTCTCAGGCTGCCCAATTTTTGTGTACAGGGTCATCAAGCTGTTATAGGGCATTGAGGTTAATGATAAATTAAGTTCCTTCATCTTATCCATTAGAGCCTCTGCTTTGTCAATCATCAAGGCTTTACAGTAACAGTTCAAAAGAGCACCATAAGTTAAATGATTCTTTGATGCTTCAGGCAAATTGATGAAGTATGTTTCTGCTGATGCAATCCCTCTAACTTTTGCAATAAGATCGATATGTATAGCTTGATCACTAACCGTCTTGTTCATTCCCCTCTTTGTCATACTTTCTGACAGCTGTATATCAGAAAGCATTGAGGAAAAATTTTCAGTACATAAAACATGGACAATCACTAAGTTCAAGAGAACAGGGAAGATTACTTCAGCAGTAATCAACCAAGTTAAACAGCAAGTACTATGGTATTAAAGATGAAGACTTATGCTTGATCGTGCCCATGACCAATTGCACACTACATCTTAATACAAATGAATTGTCCTTGACAAACCTTGGGACACAGGCTTGCAGGAACACTAATTCGTTTTCTTTTCCATTGGCTGCACTTCCTAGTACAAGAAGCAACATTGTTAAACGCAACTCCCAAGAAAACGGGCTATTGATACCATGAAATATATGATAGTCGGGCCTAGCTGATAACCACACTGGAAGTCTGAGCCTGAAAGATTGTTTACCCCCTTTTGCATGAAGGTTAAAAGCTGAGACCAGCTTTTTATGTTTCCATGGCAACAATTGGAGGAAGATGTAGCAGAGTAGGCGCTGCAACAAGACGGGAAATTTGATGTGTAGCTAATTCAGAACCTATAACCAGACTATCCGAGCACCAGCCTTACATTTCCTAATGAGTAATTCCACAGTTGTGTTTGAAAACCTATCAACCAAAAAATGCCAAAACAATTTCCCCCTCTCTCTTTTACCAATTAAAAATTTGTTCTTCAATATAAAACCTACAAAGCAATGCCCAACAAAAATGATAACTTTTTCTCAACCAACATATCTAGCATTTATTCAACGGCATATACTCCAAGGAAAAGTAAAATAACTGCCTTCTTACTACACCTAATCCCAACTGTCATAATCACCATCACCAATTGATCCTAAAGTTCCCTACTTTTACTGACCCAAATGAGAATTAAACCGACACTGAGAGAACCCACATACAAGAAATGCAATGCAACTCACAAAAAAAAAAAAATTTCCTGCAACCATTTCTTATATCCTCCAAATCAAGGATGCATAGAAGAATCATTTTACAGAAGCGGAGTTACAGGGTATAGGGCTTAAGGAAACGAAGGAAGAGACCTTGAGGGCAGGGCCATAGAGCTTGCGTTGTCGGAGGAGCTTGAGGGAATGATCCGCCTCCCATTTATATGCGGACTTATGGGATTTCAAGAACTCGTTCAGCTGTTGCCTCACGCTTTCTTCTTCGCTCCCGCCTTTCAGGAGCTTTCTGTAAAGCGCTTCCTCTAAGTACTTCTTTGTCGATCGCTTAGCTACGGTTTTCGACTTCCTCGTAAATTGTTGCATAAATGTTGAGGCCATTTTTGTTGCTGCTATTTCCTTTCTTGAGTTTGTAAGCCCTAGTGAAGATGAAGAAGAGGAAGAAGATGGAGAAGTGACTGCAAGTTTTGCAGGTGGAGTAACGGGCTTTTTGGGAAAAGTATTTTATTTTGGGCTGTACTAATGGGACAATATATTTTTATCGTTGTTTAAAGCCCCAATAAAAGGTCAGCTCGTAGAGCCCAAAAATTAATCCTCTTTCCCTGTTTGAGCCCAAATATCCTCCATCCTCTTCGGCATCTTCGGGTTATCTTTTTTTTAAAAAAAAAAAAAAAAATTTTTTGTTAGAGACGTGTTGTGCTATGAGAATGATTCTTCTGCCAGAAGAAAATGGCAAGAATTCCCATATGAGCTTCGTCCACTTAATAGATCATAAAATCGAGGAGTCCCACTTCTATTATTTGATTTGGCAGACACCAATTGAGAAGCCAAAATTAGGAATACATTTTAAGCCACTTTAGGTGGGTACTTTAGTAACGCAAAGTTTTGATTTTGAAAAAAGGATAGCAAACGCGCTTATGATTAAGTCATGTTTAGGGTACAAATGATTTTAATCAAATCAAACGTTTTACTAAAACTGCTTAAATCTGTTTAATTATTTTAACAAGTTTAAAATTTTATTTATTTATTTGTCATATCGAATTTAAACAAATTTTTTGTCAAACTTAAAAGTTATTTAACATAAAACGCTGTTCCAATTTAACTATGAAATTCAAATGAATTCTTATTAAGTCAAATTTGATTTAAGTATCAAATATCTCAATTCATCTTTCAACTCTATCCATATGTAGCTAAATATCCATACATAACAAAATGGACAAAAAACCTTAGTGGTCACTAAACTATTGGTCAGATCATATTTTGACCATCAAACTATTTTTCGTCAGTAATTAGCCACTAAACAACTTAATCAGTAAATCCGTTACCATTTAGTCGATAATTGCTCTTAATCTATGAAATTAGCTGTACACGTGGCAAAGTGCCAGGTAATTTTGTCCAACAATTACGCGACCCTATTTCACAGATTAATTGCTAATTTTACAGATTAAAAGCAATTATCGACTAAATGGTCACGAGTTTACTGATTAAGTTGTTTAGTGGTCAATTACTGACGAAAAATAGTTTGATGGTCAAAACATGATCTGACCAATAGTTTAGTGGCCGTTGAGATTTTTTACTCTAACAAAATTAGATAAAATTTGGCTTTGGCATACGATTATTCCAAAACATAAATATGGGCCCCGTTTGGAACCTGAGTTTTTTGGAAATTTGTTTAAAATTTTACTGTAGCGTACTGTAGAAGTTTTTTGAAAAAAAATTTTGAGATGAAAAACTTTTTTTTCCTTTTCTTTTTTTCTTTCTTTCTTTTTTTCCTTTCTTTCCTTTTTTCTTCTTCTTTTTCTTCCTTCCCCCTCCCCCGTCACCTCTGCCGCCAGCTTTGAAGAACCAGCAGATGGTCCAATTTTTTTTTCTTTTCTTTCCTCTCTTCTTCTTCTTCTTCTTCCTTCCCCCTCCCCTTCCCTCCCTCGCCACCTCTCCCTCCAGCTTTGAAGACTCAGTAGCCATGGTTAAGCTAATTTTTTTTCCTTTTCTCTTCCCCTCTTCTCCCTCTCCCTCTCTGCTCTCCTCTCCCCCTCTACTCCTCTCCCGAAGCCAGAGAACTAGTAGCCATGGTTTTTTTTTTTTTTTTTTTTTTTTTTTGCTTTTTCTGTCCCCCCTTGTCCCCTTTCCTACTCTCCTCCCCTTCCCCCTTCTCCTTTGCCTAATGTGGTCGTGTTGCGATCTGGTACCGCGACTGGGGGAAGGGAGAGGGTGGCTGGGGAGGAGAGGGGGAGAGGGGAGGGAAGTAGAGGGGGAGAGAGAGAGAAAAAGAAAAGAAAAGAGAGGCATTGCTGGAGGAGCTTGGGCTGGGGCTGTGAGATGAAGAGGGGCAAAAATTTTGGTGTCTTGATGTCCTTGATCCCGGGACATTTGAATAAGCACTATTTTTCTGGCATAGATATGTCACTGAAGAAAGTGATTCCGTTTTGTCTATGTTTTCTTTTTGGATTTTGAATGCGTCTACCTCGACTTTGAATACGCAGTTTAGATCGGTCAAAGGCGGAGGGGGAGAGGGAAAGGGAGAAAGGAAAAAAAAAGAAGAAGGAATGCCGGCGTCGGAAGCAGCGGCGGAGGTGGTGGCCGGCGATAAAGGTGCGGTGGATCGGGGTGGGGAAGAAAAAAGAAGAAAAGAGAAAGTTTTTTATGTATTAGATATTTTGAAGTGTGTAGGTTAAAAAATTTGATAAGTTTTTTTTGGATTCCTGTAACTAAAGTTATTAAAAAATTAATAGCTAAAAAACTTGGTTTCAAACATGTCCATGATTCTTAAATCACAAGAATATTACAAAATACTCATATTTGCTTTGTGGTGAATAGAAAGATTCTAAACTTGTCATAAGAGTTTACTTGACACTCATCTTAGGAGCATTGATGGGGTCCTTGAATTTTAAAATGTCCACCCCTTTCTTTTTTCTATTCTATTTTCCCTTCCCATAAATATAAAAAAGAAGAAAGCAAAAAAGGTTACATAACAAAGGCGGCCGACCAAACCCCAGCATACACGTGACACCAACTGCCCCAAAAGAAGCTTTTGATACCGACACGTGTCCGACTCGCGAAAAACAATAAAGTAGGTCGAAAAAACAAAAGCCTCCTACCGGAAACAGGTATAAGTGGACCCCACAATAACTGATTTTTCCGGACTCATCAGTGCCTAGACAGACGGCGAAAGTCTAATCCCTGGCCGCCTTTCCGCCTAAATCAGTCCCATTCGTAGACCATTTTTCAATTCGTGGCTACTGCTGCTCTTTTTATGAAAGCGGCGGCGTCTGCTCCTTTTTTTCGAATCCCATTCAATGCCAAATCAAATCCTATCTGCGTATTAAAGTAGTCAAACTCAAATATTGAATATTCACAAATTTCGCTCCGGCAAAGATAAGTCAATCATATAAGGAGGATTTTGAGGTCTGAACGGGCCAATCGATTTTTCTAACTTTTTGAGGTTTGCATCTTGATCTTTTTTTTTTAGGTGATAATGAATTTTTTTTATATTTAATATGTTATTGGATGTAATGATTTTGAATTTGGGAAGGTTTTTCTGTTCTAGGTTTCTGGGTGTCTAAGTTTGCTAGAGATGCTTGTACTAGTAAAATTCCTTAAGCTTCTTGTGGTCTAGATTAACTGTCGAATATGAATATCCTGAAGATTTGATTGTTGCCATGGTTGGATTTGCTACTTTTTTTTTGAGTAATTTTATTTAATGGTTTGTGATGATAAACCAGCTTTTCTTTCTTTCTTTCTTTTTTTTTTTTTAAATTAATCGGGAAGCTTAATTGGATGCAACTGATATGCTTTTGTGGAATTGTAATTTGTAGAGGAAAGGAAAATAATGAAATTTAGGTTAAGGAAAGAAGATTAGCAGGGATTTCTAAAGCTAAAAAGAAGATCTTGCTAAGGTTTTTTTTTTTCTTTTGCCCTCCCAAGGCTTTTTGCATTTTGTGCGTGTGCTGGGATTTCAATAAGCTGAAAAAGGGATCTTGGATTGTAAGAGTAGGGAAGTTTTCCAGGTTTTTGGATTTTTATCATGTTCTAGTTTGAATTGTCAAGATGAGGGCAAGCGTCGACCCAAGTGGTGCCAGGATTGGATTATAATCATAGCTTCTGCAGCCCCCATGCCCCTAGATTGTTAAATTCTATAGTTGCAGACAACGTCAGAGTTGGATTTTGTTTTATTTGTTTTCATATTGGTTTTTGGGGATGTAGCGCTCAATGCGATACAACTATCTTGAGAATACATTATTATCTATATGTTCTTTTGCAAAATGTTGTAGGATTGGATTTTGCTACGTGGTCAATTGGACATTTCTATACTCATTTACTGGATATTTGAGTATAGGCAACTCATAAGTTTGAAGATTAATGAAAACAGGGAATCTTGCCTCCGGCTATAAGAATTGTGATTCAGCTTAGGCACTATTTATAAGGTGCTTGTCAAAGAATTTGAAGTTCTTCGTTGGACATTAAAACTAGTTTAAATTATTTTATGGACTCTAGATAGAAGTTTGCTTTTCTGGTTTTGGTGTCTATAAGTTTTGTCCGGTTTATGTTGTTCAGCTCATAAGGAATAAAACATTGACAGATTCGTACTGTTGTAATGCTATCTGAAATAAGCCAATGACTTTTCCCCCCATTTTTCTCAGTGTATTGCTTGGTATCCTAATAATTTACTTCATATGCTTGCTATATTTAGCTTTGTGATTAATTCGCTTCATGCATGGTTGGAACTATTACACATTTAAGTATACATAATTTAGGCCACTATATCATGTTTTTGGGGAGCTGATCAAAATTAACTAAGCTGAAGCCTATGAAGAAAAACTTTTTTCCATGATCTATATTGCAAATTAGTGGTTTTTCTATGGTCTGGTTGAGAGAAATTATTATGTTTGAAATAGCCTAGAAGTTAATGCTAGAAGAATCACTTGTATCATGGAATGCTTGCCAATTAATGTGATGAACACGACATTCTCACATGGGACTAATTAATGGAATAAATGTTTGTTGTTTGGAACAGGGATCTGTGGCATACGGACAGTAAGATGGCAATCTATGAGTATGACCCTGATGTCATTCGGTGGGGTCTACATCATCTAGATGTCTGTATACCGAATGATAGTGGCTGTCCCAATACTGTTACTGAATACGATAAGGACTTGTCTGAAGTTGCATATGTAGATGAAGGATACTGTGAGCCCATGCAAGCAAATGTGTACAATGACGAGATAATTGCTCATGCTTATCAAGAAGAACTATCACGACTTGCAGCAGCTGAAACATCAGGATCTTCACATGCTGAGGAAGAGCATCAGCAAATCTCAGTTCTTTCACAGGATTGGTTTGGTTCTTCA